TGAACATCATGTTTTTATATATATATGTATATAATTGGGATTGCTGCAGATTATATAACATATACGGGGTCACAAATTTAGAAATCTTTAAATTTAATGTAATTTCATACAACGTCTACAGAAATTTAATTTTCTAACATTCTCAATATAAGTCAATTCAAACAAGATGTCACAAAAGTGATCTCTCTTGTCTAGATTGTTTTATATGGAATGTTTTGAAGTTCATGTCTGTGTATCTCATGCGGGTATTTATCGGTCCAAAGACATGATTAAGACTTGGCAGAATTACACACACATTTTGTGGTGATAAACATGTGCCAATTGTCAAGGAAACCTAATGTGAATAATAAATCCATCAAAAGATAGATTTGTTATTTGACATAACTTATTGTCAATGTTTGATCATTACAACAAGAATACCACTTATAGTTAATATCACTACCCAAAGGCTTGGTATTAATGTTGTGCTAGGTATCTTGAGATGTTGTCATTAAATTAATTTATTTAGAGATTATCTGTTTGGTAACTTAATGTGAGTATAATTGTTTATTCCTTTTATTTTCTTTTCTATTCAGCTTTAATGTCGACTACTTCAATCTCTGCCAACATGAACAATGTTCCAATGTTAAATGGAACAAACTTTAAGGACTGGAAAGAGAACATATTGATTGTTCTCGGCTGCATGGACATAGACTTGGCATTAAGGATGCCAAAACCGAATGCTCTCACTGCACAAAGTACTCCTGAGGAAACTGTGTACTTTGAAAAGTGGGATCGTTCTAACAGGCTAAGTCTTATGATCATGAAGCGTGGGATTCCAGAAGTTTTTCGGGGTGCAATAACAGAGGATGTTACCGTTGCCGGTGAATTTCTTTTAGAAATTCAAAAGCGTTTTGCTAAAAACGATAAGGCTGAAACAATCACGCTTTTAGCAAGCTTGATTTCAATAAAGTATAAAGGCAAGGGTAATGTTCGCGAGTACATCATGGAAATGTCTCATCTTGCTTCAAAACTTAAGGCACTAAAGCTCGACTTATCTGATGATTTGCTCGTGCATTTAGTTCTCATCTCTCTTCCTGCACAATTTAACCAATTTAAGGTCAGTTATAACTGCCAGAAGGAGAAATGGACTCTCAATGAGCTCATTTCATTTTGTGTGCAAGAGGAAGAGAGATTGAAGCAAGAAAGGACTGAAAGTGCTCATCTGGCAAGCACCTCCAAGCATACGGGCAAAAGAACGCATAAGGGAAAGGAAGTTGCTATTCCTCAGGGTCCGGAACCAAAGAAACAGAAAGTGCAGGATGGTTGTTTCTTTTGTGGCAAGCCCGGACACAGAAAGAAGGATTGTGCCAAATACGTCACCTGGCGTGTAAAGAAAGGTACATTTCATGTTTTGGTCTGTTCTGAAATAAATTTAGCTTCAGTACCAAGAAACACTTGGTGGGTAGATTCTGGTGCTACTACTCACATATGTGTTTCTATGCAGGGTTGCCTGAACTACCGAAAGCCAACTGATGCTGAAAGATACATCTTTGTGGGTGATGGCAAGTCAATAGAAGTGCAGGCAATAGCGCACTTCAGATTATTACTGAAAATCGGTTATTATTTGGAACTTCCACAACCTTTTAGTTTTGAAAACCAATTACAACATTTAAAAGGTTATGGTCCCTATTCCTTCCCAGGTGAAAATAAGAATACTGCCATTTTTTCCTAAATCCTCTCAAGGAGAAACATAAGGCACCAAAGGGGAAAGGATTAGAAGGCAATAACATAATCAATAATAAAGAGTTCATTGATAATCACGCTTCCGTTTAACCGTTCATCAATGGATTCAGGTATGTCATTTTGTCTTGATTTCTTGATAATACACATGGTAAATGATCCAAAGTGTAAGGTTTATGTTCTGAAATTTATGTTTACAATCTAAACTTCAGTGACTTCATTTGAGAACAACCAGTGCATTAAACCCATCTCAATGCCATTAGGTAAATGGGTTTTTTAAAAATTTAAAAAATAAAAATAAAAAGATAAAATTGAAGATTTCTAATTTTAGAGAGAGAAACTAACGGATTAGGTTTTAATTCATAGTGTGTCTAGTATATGCACTTTATTATTTATGACAATTTATGATTCAAAAATATTAAATGTGTATATCATACTATGTATATATAAATGCGTAACAAATATGAATAGATTTTCTTTAATTTATCTATTTGACTCATGACAAGTATAAGAGTGTATATATATATATAGGGCTATTTTTGTTAAGTTATAGATGAGCTCAGCAAGATTCATTCATGTTTTTAACGAACTATTAACAGGGTAGGGGAATATGTTACCAGCAATTAAACCACAAATAGGGGTGATAACTGAATTGAATGAGTTGAACAGTTAATTGTTCAAATTTGATTTAAAAATTTTAATGAGTTTCAAAATTTGTTCAAGTTTGATTCGTTAAACTATCAAGTCAATCTCAAACGAGCTTTTGTCAAGCCGAGCTCAAATAGTTTGTTATATTTATATATTTTTAATAAGCCGAACGAGTAATTGACTGTTCAAATTTGGTTTGAAAACTTTAACAAGCTCGAAAATGTGTTCAAGTTTAACTTATTTACTTAATAAACTAAGCTTAAACGAATTTTTAACGAGCCAAACACGAGTTGAGCTCAAACTGTTTGGTTTGTTTATCACCTCTAACCACAAGGCTATTAGGCCAAGTTTGGCAACCCAAAAATAATCATATTTTTATCTTTTTTCCATCACATCACCTCTCTACTTTTCTGCATATCTTTTCGTAAAAAGACAAAAAGTGCACTTATCTTTTAAAATTCAAGGAAGGTCTGTGCGATTTACCCTTTCATTTATTAATTGATCTGTGGTAAAAAGTGAAGCCAAAATTTGATGTAGCGGAACACTCAGCACTCTTGACAAAGTACAAAATAACTTAGCTGTCGTTTGGCAAGTGGGTTGGATTTGGGTTAAGACTTAAAAAGCAAAAAAAAAAACAAAATAGACTAAATAAACTAATAAGATAAAATGTCATATCCAAACCATAATTATTTTACTTTTTCTCTCACAAAAAAAAAAATTAAGCAAAAAATGGAGCTATTTTTTTCTCTCACAAATGGAGCTTTTTTTTTTTTTTTTGGATAAATAATCAAACTTTATTGAGAAAGTATCAAGATGATGCAAAGAATACATATTAAAAAAAAAAAAGAAGAAAGGCCTCAAAAGCCCGACCAAATTAATCCCAGACAGAGCTATTATATGGTAAGTTATTTTGTTCAAATTTATAATTAGTTTCACTTGTATCTAATCGATAGACACGTGTGTCCTCCAAGTGTCCAATAGGTGTCCGGGTCTTCAAAAAAAATTAAAAAATAAGACATGCTGTGTCGGGGAAGTATCCAACAAGTGTCGGTGTCCAACATGGATACGTCACTTTCTTACAAGTGTTCGTGCTTCTTAGCATGTAACGAAAGAGAAGAACTTGCCCACTCATTTAATGCAGTAACCCATCCTAGAATCATAGAATTATACAAAGAACACAAACTAATGTTGCTTTACATCAATTTGGCACCTAAGCTAAAGGATTCTATATACTATGCTTCAATGTTTAAAGGATTTCATTCATGTTAAGAGCTTCCAAGGAAAATTACCAAGTAGAGAATTCAGTACAAAAAAAGGAAAAGGTAAGAACGAGACCTAATTACAGCATAATAATCCATGGAACTTTGATTAAAAAAATTAGTATAGCTATAAGTACATGAGAAACATAATAATGAAGTATCATCCATTACCCTTCTACAATCACTACTTTCATCACCACCACCATCATCCATCACCCTTCTACAATCACTACTTTTATCACCATTGGGATTTCAAGTCATGGAAGGTGGATGGATCCCTGTGTTGAGTCAGAAAGGCAGAACAGGATGGAGTAGGAAAGCTAATGCAAAACTATTCACAATATTCGTTGATGATCTGCCCAGATCAATGAATGCGAAGATGTTGGTTGACATTTTTAGGAAGTTTGGAGTGGTAAGGGATGTATACATCCCTCACAAGAGAAGGAAAGTGAGGAATACTAGATTTGCTTTTGTCCGATATGACTGTGAAGTTGCAGCAAAAGTTGCTGTGAAAAAGGTGAACGGGTTATGGGTGGAGGACAAGCAACTGGTAGTGAAGCATGCGGATTACGGCAAGGTAACTCTGGAAGACAAAATCCAATACCAACCTAAACCAAATGGTCCTCCATATACTGGAAAGGGTGTAAGCAGTGTTTGGAAGCCAACAGTAGGACTCCGTTCGTATGTAGAGGTTACTAAGAACACTAGCGTCATGGGGGATGGAATTGCATCAATCAAGGCAGAGGAAATAGGTAACGGGTGGCTATATGACAGTGTATTGGTTTGTCTTAAATCTGAATATGCCAACCTCCAAATTCAAAAAGAAATTCAGGAAAGGGGTATGCAGAATGTCGTAGTCAGGCATGGAGGGGGTAGGGATGTGTTATTAACATTCACATCTAAGGAATGTAGGGAAGCCAGTATGGGGACCGTAAAGGAGTGGTTAGGGGATTGTTGTGAGGAAATTGTGGAGTGGAAACCTGACCTTGTTAGAATCAGAGAACGTAAGGTGTGGTTATGCTGTTACGGTATACCATGGAATCTATGGAACAGAACAACTTTAAATAGAATTGGAAATATTTGGGGTTTTTTTTTTTTTTTTTAATGTAAAACTCTATAAACATTAATAAACATTCTCAATCACCCTTCAATACTGGATGTATAAATTTTAAAATTTATCAATATCAACCCTAATAGCTTCATTTTTTTAATTAATTAAAACTGTAGCAACATCCATAAATCTGTAGGTCTATCAGTTGGAATATCATTTTTTTAATTAATTAGATCAATAAATATCAATAAACATCCATTTAAAAAACATCATCTGTAGCAACATCCATAAACAAAGCTATCATCAAAAATGATGACGGGGCTGATGAGTCAGCACAGAAGCTACACCAGGCTAATGACGTGTTTCAAAGGGATGGGTTATGTCAAGTAAGGAGCAATGATGCAGTGAATATGGAGCTACATGGGTGTTCTGAAACAGTGGTGGCAGAGTCGGCTGAAAATGTGCTCGAGGGAAAAACAGGTAGCATGATGAACGCAGTTGGAAACATAGGCAACAGCTGCGAAGGGGTAGGTCAGAAAAGTCTTGAGCAAGTTGTCACGCATGGTGTTGTCAGAAGTTTAAGTGGCTCTAGCTTACTTAAACCTGGGGTGTATTTAGAGGTGGAGTTGGGTCTGGGTAATGAGGTGGGCTTAGGAAATGGGCTTGAAAATATGGAAAAAGGGGTGGAGGCACAAGCCCAAGGCCTGAATTCAGGTCTCTAGAGTGGGTCTCAACATGTAGTTGGCCTTTTAATAATATGTTCAGATGTATCACATACCCAGAACGACGCAGCACGCTTAAGTTCAGAATTACAGAAGAAGAAAGTGAGGAAAAGAGTAGTTAAACACTCTAGTGGGAAGAAGCTTAAACAGATGAAAAATGAGCTTGTAAAAAGCTGCGGTCATAAAGAAGCCTCATCAACTAAATTGGGTCCAAAAGGGGCAATTTGGAGAGCAGCAGCCATGGCAGCAACTGGTTCTGCATCATATGTAAGTGGGGAGGCCAGAAACAGGACTTTGCTTAAAGAGGCTAAAGAGACTCTACAAATGGGGAAATTGCTGGGAGTTAACTACAAAGGTAATAAAGAGGTTGTGTTGTCCAGAATTATGGATCTTGAGGCAAAGGATAGAGAAAAAATGGGAGGGGAGTTCGGTGCTACAGCGTAAAGTGCAGCATCTAGGGGTCAGAGGTGAGTGTTTTTGTTAAAATGATGAAGATACTATCATGGAATGTAAGGGGTTTGGGAAAAAATGAAAAAAAGGAATAAAATTAAATGTATGTTGAAAGCTAGAGGAGTTGATATTGCTCTATTCTAGGAAACAAAGAAGGCTTCTTTATCAGAAAAGGAGATTAAGGATCTCTGGGCTAGGGATAGGTTGGAATTCATGACGGTGGATGCTGAAGGATCTGCAGGTGGCCTATTATGTATATGGGATCCAGGTGTGTTTCAGGTATTAAGTTGCTGTTGTAATAGAAGATTCATCCTTCTCTCTGGTACTTTATTCTTCTCCTTCGAATGTGTCTTAATTAATCTGTATGCTCCTAATGAAGTGGGTCAGAGAGGGAAACTGTGGGAGTGTCTCTTGAAACTAAAAGAGGAGTTTTCTAATCCTTGGTGTATAGGAGGGGACTTCAATGAAATTACAAATATTGGAGAGAGGAAAGGTTGTTCTAGGAGGGAGAGGGGAATGAAGGAATTGAATGATTTCATTGATAAAAGTGAGGTAAATGACTTGCCCCTATTGGGTAGAAGGTATACATGGTGTAATGCCAGGGAAGGGGAGAAGGGGAGAAGTGGAGCAGAATTGATAAGGTTTTAGTGGATCCAAAATGGCTGGAATCTTTCAACCTGAAGTTGTGGGGGTTACCTAGAGTTTTGTCTGATCATAGCCCTTTACTTTTAATGGAAGATGAGAGAGATTGGGGCCCT